TATCTGAATATTAAACATCTTAGGCATAACATGGAACAGGTATTTTCCATTAAGTATTGATATGTTAAACATTAAGTCCCTACAGAATATGAAGAAAAAAAATTAAAAAATATTTCAAAAAATAGGAAAAAACAGTTACATATTTTTACACAGAAATTTAGAATTTCTTTCTTGGCCCGATACTAAAATGCAACCAGTAATTCTTGCTCCGCTTAAGAGGAAAACACATTGTGACACTCAGCAATAACATAATTATTACTTTTTGTAACTAAATGATACTGCTTTTTTGATATTCGCCCACTCACCCCTTCAGTATTCACAGTTCCTTGAGAGGAATTGAAATCTGTTTCTTGCTGTTTTAGGGGAACATAGTGTTTGACAAACACAGGAGTAGTAATGGCACCAACAGAGGTGCTCTATAAAGTTTACTCTCGGGATTGCTAGAGACTTTTGCCAAGTTAGATAGCTCTTGAAATTAATTCATATTATTTTTAATATATTTAGTCAGTAAAGTTGCTATGGTCTCTTCTGTATTAGTAAGTTTTGTACTGAGTATCATATGGATTCTTGTGGTGTTTAGATTGTCTAAGTGAGCTAAAAGCTTTGGGAAAATAGAGATTCAGATTTGGTAGTTCTGAACTGGGGCCTGAGGTTTTGCATGGCTGAAAACCTCTGTGTGGTGTCCATGCTGCTGGTCTGAAGACCACATTCTCAGTAGCAGAGATCTTGGCTATTTCATACTCCATATGAAAGAGAAAAGGCCATTCGTTTTGTTGACATCAGGCTGGTTATTTTGCACACCCAGTAAACTGATTGGTATCCAACAGGTAGGTGCCTAATATATGTTTGTTGAATGAACAAATCAATGAGAGAAGTATCAGTGCATAAGTTTACTGTCAGTCCGAAGAACACATGCTCAGCAATTATATTTAAAGGAGAGAAAAGGCAGAAATAAACTTATTTCTGTCTTCTATTCAGCTTATATCCTTATTATATAAATCACTGTATTCAAGGACTAATAATATTAATGATCGATTTTAACAATTAGCTCTTTGAGCCTATTGGGTAAATAGCCATTAAGCATTCAGTTTTGTTCACTTATTAGCATCCATTCTTTACCTATTTTGCATTTTTCAAATGAGTTATATCTGAGTCTTGAATAGGAACTTTTCTTCAGTATGTGTATATAATTTTTACAGGTATTACCATGTGAATGTGAGGAAAGAAATGAAGGGATACTGAGTTCAGATTTTTTTCCTGATAGGAGTAAAACAAACATATTTTATTTATCTTTTTCCTGAATTTCTTTTTATATTCTTATAATCTGTAACCAAAACATAGTATGAACAAGACAATTTTGTGAGTATCTTGTCACATGACTATGTGACGAATGCTACCTGATATGTGAGATGATGAGTTTAGAAAAATGGCCCTCCAGTTCAGTTATTTTATTCCTGTAGTCAGAACCCACTCTCAGCAAACCCCTTTTGAGTGACAGAAGCCAATGGGGTCATAGAGTATTGAAGTTCCACTTATCAGGAAGCAGAACACTAATTTTGTTGTAAAAGTCCAGAAACATGTTTGTCAGACACAAGTTTATTCTTGAGAATATTTTTAATGATGAATTATTAATTTTAATTTAATGAGTACTTAGCTTGAAAAACTACACAAAGTATTGAATTTAATATTGAGTCTTATCCAGTGTTTATAAAATGTGTCATAAGTTTCAAAATCGGCCGTGTTTTGGTGTATAAGATGTAAAAAAGAACAATACAAATTCTGATATGGACTGAATGAAAATAACAATAGCATTTTTAAAGAAAATCTTTACTTCAGATATCACACCTAAGGTAGTCTGCACACAAAGAAGCATGTTCCAAACACACAAAGGGAGCACATTTGTTTTCCTTTCCTGCCCTTTTTGGAGGACATACTTGGCATCTCATTTGTCTTGCTGTGTTGTGAAAAGAGTCTTCTTATATTGTACAGAGTGTAGTTAACAGGAACATAAAATGTCAATAAAATAAGGTATTAAAATCTTAATATATCTTGTACATTTAAAATAGACATCCGCATTTCACATCAGCTGTGTACTTGCTTACGAAAACTGAAAATTAGAAAGCAATTTTTTAATTGGGGAGATGGCTCAGTAGAATAAGTGCTTGCCTGACAAGGGCAAGGGCCTGAGTTCAATCCCAGGTTCCAAAAAAACCAAAAACCAAAAACCAAAAACCAAAAAACAAACCTGAAAATATAACATAAGAAATAAATATCTATATGAACTACAATGAAAAATACAAAAATAAGCTTTGCTTCAATTGTCACACCCAAGGTAATATTCACACATGATAATTGTATGTTTCCCATGCACACATCTCTATTCTGAAAGATAGCATCCATATAGATCTTCTATAGTCTTCTTGAAATATGTAAATTTTTAGTCAATTATCTTAGGTTTTGATCTTTTTTTTTGAAGTAGACAAAAGATAAAGTCTTGATGACCATGGTTATATATTTATAACTCTCACCAATTGCTAGTTTATATTTCAGTATTCAGAATTAATATCATATTGATTAGAATTTTAATGGACACCATTTATATGCTGTAGGATGAAAATACAACTTGAGGCTTTCACAGGAGTAGGTAAAAATGTTGATAGTGGATGTATTTGTGTGATGGGGCTGTAGATAATCATAATTACTTATATGGCTTTTCAAATTTTTATAATGAGCACATTTCAATTAATAAACCAGAAAAAAATTGATTTAAAATAACTCCCATATTTAGGAAGACTTTTTCAGCTTTTGAAGTTCTTTTTCTATTGCTTTTTTATTATTAATCCCTTTTTGAACATCATGAGGTTCTCATATCAGATCTCAAATGGGTAACTTAAGTATGACTTCCTACATTTGTCAGCTAGAGCTACCTTAATATAATATTATAGCCTGGGAAACATGAGCAATATAAGTTTGTTTTCTTACAGTTCTGGAGGCTGAGAGCTTGCGATCAGGATGCTAGCATTGGGTGGGTTGTCATATCTGGGCTCTCTTCCTGACTTGTAGATAGCTAGGGTTTGCTATGTACTTTTGTGGGGAGGGGGAATTGGAGGAGGCTAGAAAACGCATGCACTGTCTTGTGTCTCATCTTAGAAGGATGCCAGTGTTATCCCGAGAACCCTATCCTAATGAACTCAACTAACTCGTTACTTCCCAAGTTTGATAATGAGCATGTCTCATCTCCAACTGCGATCACATTAGCAGTAGGAGCTTCAACATATAAATTGGAGAGGGGGCAAGTTTTGAATATGTAACAGTGGTTATAGTTATAGATTTACCCTTTTACTCAAACTGGCAATATGTAAGATTTTCAGAAATTGCATCTAAAATTGAAAAATATTGACAGACTATATAAAAGGCACAAATGGTAGATACCTCCTGATAGTGGGTTTAGAGATTTTTCTCTATTTTTTCTATGAATTTAAAGTATATTTCTTTTGTAAGTGTAAAAACACAATGTATATTATTTTTAAAGGAAAATAAAACTAGCTTGTCGGATTTCAGAATGCTGAAAATTTCAAACTCTTTTCTTTTTATCTTCTTGTGATTTTTCTGAGATTTAATGAAAGTGTCTACTTTGTTTAGAGTGTGAGAGGTCAAAAAGTAGTTGTCACTGTTCTTTTTTTTCCCTTGTATTATAATGCTAGTGTTTGTTATATGTTATATGTTAAACATAGTTTTGTTATAATACCACATTAGGTATCTTAGGTAACAGAAAAAGTAAGTCATAATAGCTGGAGAGATAGAGCAGCAATATTTATTCTAAGATTTTTTTAATGACTTAGTTATAAATACAGTAACTGTTCATGGTGTTTACTTTTGGAATTCTTCATCTTTTGGATTATAGTAAAATAAAAGCATTTACTTTAAGAAAAAGAATTGGTTGGGGCTGGGGAGATGGTTCAGTGGAATAAGCGCTTCCCTGGCAAGTGCAAGGGCCTGAGTTCAATCCCCGGTTCTGCAAAAAAAAGAAAAAAAAAAAAAAAAAAAGAATTGGTGACTTGCTTTCACTAATATTCAATGATAAAATTAATCCAAGCACCTTAAATATTTGCAATGCAGCAGGTAAATGGTGATGATGAGAAAACTTAAAATCAGACTTTGGTATATTTCATTCCAAGGCTGATTTAAGTTTAATTCTTGAAGGTGTGTGTGTGTGTGTGTGTGTGTGTGTGTGTGTGTGTGTTTGGTTCCCCCTGTAGAAGCTCTGTCTTCTCTGCTTTCTAATGCATCGTCTCTTATTATGTGCTCTCTTGTGTATAGTCTGTCATTAGTTGTTTTTTCTCAATCCCACATCTGAATGTAATATTTCTAGTTTTTTGTATCTATAAATCAATAGGTTGGAAATGCTTTGCAAGGTAGTCATGTTTTTTGTCACGTAGGGACTTGACTGCTTGCCAAGTAAATCATGTTGTTGTGATATATTATTTCCAGTTGCTATAAATTTTCAATATTTAATGTATCAGTCATACTAAGTAAGTATTCTGTAATTTAATTTCACTTATGTCTGTATTTTAAATGAGAATCCTTTTCCCTTTTAGTAGGTTTGAATTTTTTAGAGTCGAATTCCAAGCATGCCTTATAAAACCAATCACATGACATACACATTGAATGAACCATTTTTATGTTTATAGGCAGACTCAAAAATACATACCATGCTTAAGTATGTCCAAAATTAAAGACTTTCCCATGTTTTGCTTTTGACACTTTAGACACATAGTGTTTTGATGCACAGTACTGATGGTAATTCCCATGATACTTGATTGGGAATGCAGTCATTTCAGTGATGACCCTCAGAAATAGGAAAAGTAAGTTGTTCTGAATTGATGTCTATGTCTACAACATTTTTAATGTATCACTACCAAAATCAGACTCTTAAATTCTGTTTAGACATTGCTGATAAAACAATGCTCTTTCTTTTTCTTCCCCTTTTTTACCAAAAGGACACAAAAATTGCTTCATTGGAGCGAAACATACGGGATCTGGAGGATGAGATCCAGATGTTAAAAGCCAATGGTGTGCTGAACACCGAGGACCGTGAAGAAGAGATCAAACAAATAGAGGTTTACAAAAGTCACTCCAAGTTTATGAAGACCAAGGTATTGCCCAGAGTTATAGTTTTTTTTATGTTATTACTGTGACTGGAAAGTTACGGTTTGCATACATACTTCTTCCAAGTACCACATGATCTGCTTTATGTAATTTCATGAAATATATGGACAATAAAGAGTAAATGTGGAAGATTTTTTTTTTTGTTCGGAAATACAGATTCCAAAAAAGGATCAAGCAAAACCTTTGGTGGGATTTTGACTCACTGTGATGTTCAGGCTGTTCTAATGAGTTCCTTTGCTGTTTCTCTATTAGAGGAATTAACATATTTTGTTCTCTCTGTTTCAAATTTGTAGTTCTTCTAAGTTGGCTAATTTTTTTTTTTTTTACATTGCTGTTGCCAACTTTCTTGCCCCATATTAGAAGGTGATTGTTTCAAATGGTATTGTTCTTTTTTTTAAAGTTTAATAGTTGTTTTCTTTTTTTTTCTCCATAATTTTATTGAGAAACAAATAGCAGTGAGACAATTTCAAATAAAATTGGTAGGACAATTCCAATAATTAACACATTGCATATTCTCTTCCTAGTGGTTATTTGCTGTACAAGATGCAGACATTATATCCTATTTACAAACACTGTTAGAACAAATCCCTCTATTCATTAAGAGAATATAACTATATAGCTATCCTAACCATTTTAAATACACAGATACAAAGTGGACATTCATCTTTATCCCTTTTTTTGTTTAATTCTGTCATTTGAATATTATAGGTGTGTAAACTCAGCAAAATATTCCAAAAGAGTCCAGTAGTCCATAATAGTATTGGATCCAAAAGCTATAACTCTTGTTGCATAGGTCTTGCTTTATCTTGGTCTTAATCATTCAACAGAAAAGTATAGAAACGAAGTATAAGAAGTAAAGCCATGCTGTTATGTTGAGCTGTAGGGGATGCAGGTCAACAATTTCTGACACTGCCAGTCAAGCGGAAGACCCAATACTATTATAGTATTGTTCTTATAAACCAAACTAAATCATTTTTCAGTATTATTAAAACATTTTGGTTTTTGTATTTAGTTTTTTCCATTCTTCTATTTAGTGAAATTATTTAATGTGTCTAAGCCTCAGAGTCTTCTTTCATTAAATAACAGTAAGAAAATAACCTCCACCACTGAGTTGGTTTATTGTTATTGCTGTGGAATACTTATAAAATATTATTAGGGATTTCTGCTCTGTTAACTTATATTAATACTGCCAGTTTTAAAGAATTGGTTTGTAGTTTTCAAAAATAAACTTTGGACTGTAACTGGAGTACCTGAATATTATTTTTACATATGCATAATTATTAGATTTAAGAATAATCTCAAATTGATCTCTAGAGACTTTGACATCCTTTTGTCTAAGCCTGTGTTAAACTATTTCACTTCTCAAAATAATAACCATATCAAATTTTTAAAAATGTATTTCTTATCACTTTTAAATGTCCCTGTTCGGGGCCGGGGAGATGACTCAGTGGAATAAGCACTTCCCTGGCAAGCGCAAGGGCCTGAGTTCAATCCCCAGTTCTGAAAAAAAAAAAAAAAAAGTCCCTGTTCTTCTAGGCTTTCATCTTGTTTGTTGCCTTATACAATGCAGCACGGTTAGAGGAGACACACTCCTGTGAGAAAGTGTTGGGAAAACTGTTTAGAAGATTTGCCTCAGCTGTGATACACGGGCATACTCATTGCAGTTTGCAGATTGTACAGAGGAACTAAAAATACCTATAATTACTTCACACCTATGTACGTGTGTATATGGCATGTATGTTTTTGCAAGGGCAAAAAGCAAAACCTGTGCTTGTCTCTGCCAACTTTCCACCCCTAAAGTAGATGCTGAGTATAGAGATTGGAGGCATAAAGAAAATGTCAAATGGATATGAAAACAACCATTTCCTTCAGAGCCTAGGACAGACTACCTAGTGGGTTTCCCTGCTCAGTGCCTCCCTCTGGTTTCTTTTTTTACAGTTCTTTATCAGAGAGTTGAGCTGAGGTACAGCAAGTACAGAGCTAGGGTGACACGGGGTGACCTGCAGGCAGTGCCTGGATTACTCTGGGAGTGAATTCCAGAGGAACAGATATGAGTGAAGTCGAGAAGTTTCAGGAAATTATTGTTTGGCTTAAAGTTTTTCTCCCTACTCTGTCATTCAACAATGGGAGATTGATTGTTGAATTCACTTTTAAAGCTGGAAATGGCAGAAATTTTGTGAGCTCTTCCCTTCATCATGGACTGTGTCCAAGTGAGTAAAGCATTTATATAGTCTTTCTAAAGCAAGCGAGGACCTTTATTATCCCACATTTGTCTAAGGCACTATCAATCCTTGAATTAGATTTAATTTTTAATCGCTTGTTGCAGAAGTGGTCAGGCCTGAGGAATGTTCAAGGGGATCTCAGAGTAGGATAAGGTGGAGAGAATGAAAGGCTGGGACTAACGCAGCTCCTGGCAAGCCTCTATCCTGCCTTTGCAAGCTGCATGGCCTTGGGAGATTGACTTTAGACACTGAACCACACTCTCCTCCTCTGTAAAATGAGTTCAGTGCTGCCAGACTTAGAGGGTGGCTCAAGGCTATTAAATAAGGATTTAATGAGATAATCCTCCTAAAGTGCCTGGCTCAAAAAGTAGCTAACATTTTTAAACATTACTCTTAAAAAACTGTAACTAAATATGATAATAATAAATTTAAAGTGATATATAAATAGATTTCTAAGGAATACAAATTAAAATGAATTTTATCTCTTAGACTGATAAATGGTAGTTACAAAATACTAATAAGAGCAAATTTTTATATTTCCTCCATTAAAAAATGCTTTTGTTGGCTTGAATCAAAATGTAGCTCATTACTTTACTTGATTTAAAAAAAAGTTTCCTACTTTGAGGGGCAAGCAGGATTCCTTAATTAAGCCTGTGAATGCCACTTGCACTTATCCTTGCAATGAATAAAGCATGTAGGTTGGAGGCAAGGAAAGTATTTTAGGTATTAACATAGAAGACCATGCACCCCTGTTTTGATCTTGAGCAGATGATTGGACTGGTAGAGGCGCTTGAAATTTCTGTGATTCAATTAAGTAGTAGTGAAGGCTTAAGTTGACTTATAAAAATGACCTCATAGCAAAACCAGGTCATCACATTTTTGGAAAGGTGGAAGAAGGGTTGCAAGAAATATAAAGGTAGAGTTTTGGAATCTATGCTTTTGAATCCAGAAATACCAGACATAGTTCACCAGGCCTGAGATTCTTCAGCTTTTGGGTGTTGTCTCTGAAAATCAAGTTTAGGAGACCTTCTGATTTTTGCTGATTCCTCTGTTGGCATGTGTAATTCTTATCCCATCTCCAGAGGCTTAGGGGAATCAGAGCTTGAGAGCTAAATGAAGAAGCCATGAAAAGCATGAGTTACTTTCAGGGACATTATTAAGCTTTTGAAAATGGAATTACCATATAAATAATTGTTTTTTAAAACAATGATGCCATCTTCTTTCTGTACAAAGCTGTATGTTCCTAGCCTAACACATTTTTCATGTACCAATCCCAGTATTTCTATATTAACTGTTCTCTCTGTCTTTACTGCTTGCCACAGGACCCATTCTGTACTTTTAGATTTTCTCTTTATTCTGAATTTGTAGCACATTTTCTTCTAAACCTCTGACAGATTACAAATCTCATAACCCAAACTGCATGATAATAAGCATATAGCTTTCTAGACATGAGAACTATATCTGCAGTGAAAAAGAAACTGTTTGCCTTGGCAGAGTAATTTTTTTTCAGGGTGTTAGTAGTGTCACAGACGTAAGTGGGGGAAGAATTTTCAGATGGAATGAAGTGTGCCTGATGTCCACATGGAGTTCATATGAAGCATGTGATGTTACTCTGATTGGCTTTTCTTTTGGCTATCACAGAGAGAGACCTCTAGCTTCAGTTTTCATGCATGTTCAATTACATCATTTTCCATTTTTACGGAGATTATGGTTATAAAAGAAGCAAAAGACATTTTTTAATGGAAGAATACAGTTTTTTACCCTGTAACTGTATTCCCCTTAGCAAAGCCTTTTACTATTATTGTCTATATAAATATTTATTTAAAAATTTACATCATGTACATGTGAATTACTGAAACCGATAAAAAGATATAAAAAGATATAAAACCCCTGAGTAATCAAAAAATTGGCCATGAAATACATGCAGTAATAAAAATAAATATACTAACTAAGAAAAGCTCAGGTCCAGATGGATTCACTGCTGAATTCTACAAAAATTGTGAAGAAGATTTAATGCCAAAACTCCTCAAAACTCAATGAAATTAAAAGGGAAGGAGTACACCCAAAGCCATTCCTGGAAACTAACATTACCCTGATTCCAGAGCTAGACAAAGATCCAACCAAAACAGAGAACTAATGACCAACCTGTTTAGTAAATATAGGTTGACAGTCCCGAAGATACTGACAAACACAACACAGCATATCATCAAAGAATCTATCTATCTCTTTTTCTTCTCTCTTTTTTTTAACTATTTCTGTATTCTCTTTAAAAATTAAAAAAATTAATTTTTTAAAAAAAGATCATATATAGTGACCAAATAAGCTTCATCCCAGGGAGGCAAGGATAGTTCAACATACATAAGTCAATAAGCATAATAGATCACATAAACAGAAGCCAAGACAAAAACTGCATAATCATCGAAAAAGACATTAAAAAAAGCCTTTGACAAAATCCACATCCATTTATGGTGAATGCTGAAGAAAATAGATATAGAATGACTCTGTCTTAATCTGATGAATGCTGTTCATGTCGAACCTCCTCACAACATCATATTAAGTGGTGAAGCACTGAAAACTTTTCCTCTAAAATCAGGAACAAGAGACGATGTCTGCAGTCACCATTTCTGTTTAACAGTACTCAAAACATTGGTCAGAGCAATCTGGCAAGAGAAAGAAATAGATTATCTATCTATCTATCTATCTATCTATCTAAATTATCATTATTTTCAGATGACATGATCCTCTCCATAGAAGTGGGAAAAAAA